CCAAGGGGAACTTATGTCTGCATGAAGTCTTCTGTCATCTCTACGTTGTCAGTTACACATAACCTTGACAGAAATATGTCTTTTCACATGAAAAGTAAGAAGTGAAAATCATACTTTTACTCCATGTCAGGGTATTGCGTTTCTAAATTCATCGCATGACTCAGAATACAAGAAGGGTAATTCTAGGACAAGAACACAAGATGGCAGCATGCACATGATAGTTAAACTTTGCTGTCCAGGAAAGTAATGCAAGTCCTTTAGAATGATATTCTAAAATTATTCTAAAGAGTAACAACATGATTTACATAAAATACAGTAGTAAAAAAAACCTTCATACTTTTATTGGCAATATATGCAGTCTTTTAAGTGGATATACACTTAAAAGGATGAAAGATTTTTAGGGAGATTGTTTGTCCCACTACTACAGACAAGGATAGTGTGGTTCAAATGGTGATTATCATAAAGACGGATTGTTCTGAGTGTGATATAATACCCCTAGAGTTAACTACAAATGCCAGTTTAAATGTCTTCTGCTGATGAAATTTGATGACTGATCTGCATATCTCCTCAACTACTTGTAATTAATTGTTCAATTCACAAGGCTTTCCTCCATAATAGGAGGTCCAAGCATGGTATTTAACCAGTGACTTCCCTCTGGGCAATACAACAAAAAAAATTGAAAAAGAATCAATGAAAATTATTTATCAGATAATGTGTGGCTAAATTTACTCTTTAAATGAGGCCTCCCTTGCCATTACAGGTTCACTAGATAAAATATATTCACACAATAATTCTTTATGATTCATTTTATGGTTTTATTTGACCTTGTGATTTTATTGATATGGTATTTTGGGGTGATCATAACATTCAGAATGAGACCATGAGAGTGGGGAGCTACAGAGGATTTGAAGAGATTTAAAAGAGGGAGCACTCAGGACCTGAGACATCAGAAGTTAGATTTATCTGTGTGGGTGTTAAATAAAGTTTCTCAGCTTGACAACAGAAATTGGGATGGGCAAGTGGAATTTGTTTCAGGCGACTCAATTTTTGTGAAAGAAAGGGGGAGGCAGGAAAGCCATTGTAAGAAATTAAATGTTGGGTTAAGAGTTGGGAGAGTTAAATGTCATAAATTTCATAAGTGTGTTTTTTTTCCTTTCCCAAAGGAGAAAGGAGAGTTATAATCTGAAAGTAGTAAGGAGATTCTTATGTGAGTCAAACCAGACCTGCCTGCAGTATGATAGGAAAATGGTAAATGAGTGTGCTTTGAAAAAAATTATGTCCACAAAAGAGAGTTTATAGCAGTTTCTTCTCGATTCCATGTCTATGTCTTCGTCCCATTCCCTGAAACTGTAATATAAAATAAATGAAAATTACTGTTTCTATATTTGAGCAGGTATAATGCTGGAACTTACCTATTTAATCATTGTGCTGAAAATTCTTTGGTAGTTTGGGAAGAATTAGATGCCACTTAATTATTCTGTACACACACACACGTTTCTCCTTATAGCAACTTACATTATTCTAAAACATATAAGTATTTGTTTTTTTTCTTAGTAACTGGCGAAATAAAGGGTTAATAAAAGAATAGGACGATTTCTGGGTTGTAGATGGTCTCGACTGTATTTTACAATCTCTTAACATGTGGATGCACACACTGGTATTAATTTCTTATGACTAAGACAAAGATATAGACTCAGAATTAATAGCAAACCTTAACAGGTTATGGAGACATTTCAAAGCTGTCTTTACATTTTCAGGTTCCAAGTCAGTTGGTGCTGCCAGATAAACAACTATTGACAATTCTATTAGGCATCTCATAAAAGGAGAGAGAAATAGTCTTTCTTCTCTAAACCAACTGTGTGAGCAGAGTAGGGGCTATAAAACAAAGTGTTAGGTTGGAAAGTTACGAGAGAACAAAAAGATGATAGATTGTGTACCTGTAAAGCTGAAAAGTATTTCAAAGGGATATGGAAGTTGAGATGTTCCACAAAAGGTACACTGGACACATATAGGAGAGAACTGATAGAAATCCACCTGTAAATTTAAGGAATAAGAATAAGACTAAAGTTACAGACACAAAAACCAGTCAGAGGTTTCCCGGCAAAGGCCAGGAGAGAATGTCTGTTTATAGGGTTAAGATCTGAGCAAACAGTCAATTGTTCAAGCCAGAATTCATAGCTTTATAGCTTTGGAGCAAAATCCATGAATACTCACATGTGAGCTTATTAACTAGGGATGTGGCACCCAAAAAAAAGAAGTTTTATGCATATTAATCAGATGTCATATTCCAAAAGCTTCCTTAGAGTTCTGAAGCACAAACTATATATAATAGAGTTGCAGGGGCATGAGCAGACTGTGAGAGGGAGATTCACATGCAGGATGTTTATTTGAGAACGCTCTCTAGATTTACATGCTCCTGTGGAGGCAGGAAGAGTGCAGGTTTGGATTATGATGATATGATGGGAGGAGGTGTTATGTCTCAACAGAGATCTTAGCTAATCCCACTGACGTTTGGGGTGTCCTTCTGAGTTGTACAAAGAGGGAGAGAAGTGGCCTTCCATTTACCATGCCCACATCTACCATCCCTATACATGGGCTGCCCTGGAGTGGGGACTAAGAGTGACTTTCAGAAGGTAGACAGTGGAGCTGCCCAGGTGAGGACTCCCAACTGTTGGGGGTAGAAAGAAGCTTGATCATGAATCCCAGAATCCACTTCTTGTAATCATCTTTGAGTTAGTAGTTATGTTCCAGATCTAATACCTTTGAAATGACTTCCTTACCAATGAGTGCAATGATATCCCCACCAGTAGGAAATCCTAGACCCTCAGGTAATGACTTCTTTAATATCTCTTCATCCATTTAGTTGAAGTTGTGGCAAAATCATGGCTTCTTTTATGAGAATAAATCAAAACCCACCAACCATGTTCTTACTGTGTGCCAAACTGAAGAGTTACATAATTCACCTCATGGCAGAGTAACATTATCAACATGAAAGGCAATTCTATGAAACAACCAAAAGATGGCAGCATAGATCTATGATCATTAAACTTCTTTTCATGCCATGGTAAATACTGAAAATTCTAAGCTACTTTGTAATCCCAAAATTAATCTAAAAAGTAGTTAAATGATTTACATAAAAGTGTTTAAAAAATCAACCCCAATTTTTGTTGTCAAGGACTTGTGTAAAGGCATACTACAGTCCTATAAGTGAATGTACACGTTGAGAGAATGAAGGACAGTGGGAAGAGTCTTTGTTGGATACCTAAAGGTAAAGAGGCTCTCCCTTTAATCTTACTTGTAGAATAGCTATTATGGACATGTAGCTGATAATAATGTATCTGTGTCCCAGCTTCCTTTGTACATCAGTCTATTCATTACAAAAGGAATAACAAACATTACTTACTTAGCTTGGGAAACAAATCTGTTTGTTAAGCAATGGAACAAGAATATTTATTTCAACAATATGGAGGGATTTTTAGAACATAATGGCAGAAGGACAATGGAGTTTCAAGAATGAATACACACAAAATTCAAATTATCTTCCTTGTACTTAGCCTTTTAGCCTAACTACTAGACTATGTCTTTCATTAAAATTAAATTGCCATATTGGGCCTACCCTTTTGGCGCAGCGGTTGAGAGCTGGGCTGCGAAGCTGCCCACAGCCTCTGCAGCGCCGGTTCGATCCCAGCCGGCCAGCGAGGGTCCCACATGGAGCGGCAGACCTCTCCTGTCTCGCCCACTGCTCCCCTCAGAAGTGTATTTCAGTACATCTGCCTGTTCTGTTCCCGACTCTGTCTCTGGTGAATCCTCTCACCTGCCCGCTCATCTGGCCTATACCCCGCTTCTTGCATAAATAAATAAATCTTCAAAAAAAAAATTAAAATGCCATATTAAAGATTCCACCAGGGGTGTGGTGCCATACCTAGAAATATCATCTGATTCCCTCAGTAGGGACAGGTGTACTCTTATTTTCCATCCATAGTCATTATGGAGCAAGATTAAGTAAGGTGAGATTACTTTAAGGGCACACCTGTGTGGCTCAAGCGGTAATGATAAGAAGGAGAGAATTGTTATGAGCTGGATGTAGCCCTCCCTCATAACTGCCTATAAATGTCAACTTAAATACCACTTCTGCTGATGAAAGTTGATGATTGATCTGCACACATTGCCTTAAGAATAGTCTCCAACATTACTAACACATTTCTATCAACAGAGATGATATTAGTGGTTGTTTGGTCATATTACATGTTTTGATATTAGTAGTTAATATTTATAAACATATTGATCAATACTCATTTACAAAATGAATTTAAGATTTTAGTTCTTAGTTATTATAATTCATCAATATATTCTTAAATCATAATTATTTCTGGAAATAAATCTATCTGGAGTTTGTTACTCAAGGAGGGCCTTTGTCAGATAAATGGTCTGACATTTTTGTTAGTATATGTAACTATTTTATTCTCTCACTTGAATTAAAAGTATGGGAAATAATTTTTTTCTCAGAAATGTATATTTCTCTTACTAATTTGCGGCTATTTCCCCCTTTTCTTTTACATTCTGTTTATTTTGAAAAATCAGATTTTTTTAATTCACATATTATTGGTTTTATCATTTCAAATTTTCCCGTTGTGGGTCATTACAGAAGTTTTTACATGTCAATATAATTAAAATTTGAGGGGTACACTTTTTTCTTTTTCTTTTCTTTTTTTTTTTTTTTTTTTTTTTGCAAATAACAGCAATTGCCTTGCCAAAAAGCGTGCAGAAAAGGAACCAGCAGTAAGTTTAGGCCGCAATAGCATTCTCCCTCCGGTTTTTTTCACCCCCAAATCTCACTCTAAGTCAAGCCCCGTGACTCCAGCTTCCAGAGCAAACCTGAACGGTTTGAATGTGGGCTCAGCAAAATTCCGAATCCAGATTGACAGGATTATCAACCAATCACACACCCAGGTGTCCTTTCCAAGTCCAATCATGGCTGTTAGGTGTGAGCCTTAAGTGTCGAGAAGAAAGGGGTGGGGTCAAGGGGAAGGACGTTAGGATATACCACCCAGCCAGCCTCCCAACAGCAATAAAGCGGTGCTTCGGCGTTGACATCCCGGAGTCATCCTATCTTTTGTCAAAATGTCTCTTTCCAAGAAGTTAACTCTGGACAAACTGGATGTTAAAGGGAAACGTGTCATCATGAGAGTAGACTTCAATGTTCCCATGAAAAATAATCAAATTACTAACAACCAGAGAATCAAGGCTGCCATCCCAAGCATAAAATACTGTCTCGATAATGGAGCCAGGTCGGTCGTTCTTATGAGTCACCTAGGTCGTCCTGATGGTAATCCCATGCCTGATAAATATTCCTTACAGCCTGTTGCTGTTGAGCTGCAATCCTTACTGGGCAGGAAGGTACTGTTTCTGAGTGACTGTGTGGGGAAACAAGTGGAGAAGGCCTGTGCCAGGCCACCTAGAGGTTCTGTCATCCTGTTAGAGAACCTGCGCTTTCATATAGAAGAAGAAGGGAAGGGTCTAGATTCTTCTGGAAATAAAGTTAAAGCTGAGCCAGAGAAAATAGAAGCCTTCCGAACATCACTTTCCCAGCTAGGGGATATCTACGTGAATGATGCTTTTGGCACTGCTCACCGGGCCCACAGCTCTATCGTGGGAGTGAATCTGCCACAGAAGGCTTCTGGATTTTTGATGAAGAAGGAGCTCGATTATTTTGCTAAAGCCTTGGAAAATCCAGAAAAACCCTTTCTGGCTATACTAGGTGGAGCCAAAGTGGCAGACAAGATCCAACTCATCAAAAATATGCTAGATAAAGTCAGTGAGATGATTATTGGTGGTGGAATGGCTTATACCTTCCTTAAGGTACTCAACAACATGGAGATTGGTAATTCCCTTTTTGATGAAGAAGGAGCCAAGATTGTCAAAGATATCATAGCCAAAGCTAATAAGAATGGTGTGAACATTACTTTTCCTGTTGACTTTGTGACAGCTGACAAGTTTGAGGAGAATGCTAATACTGGACAAGCCACTGTATCATCTGGCATACCTTCTGGCTGGATGGGTTTGGACAGTGGTCCTGAGACCAACAAGAAGTTCGCTGAAATTGTGGCCCGGGCCAAGCTAATTGTATGGAATGGACCTGTAGGGGTATTTGAATGGGACGCCTTTGCTAATGGAACCAAATCCCTCATGGATGAAATTGTAAAAGCCACTTCCAAGGGCTGTATCACCATTATAGGAGGTGGAGACACTGCTACTTGCTGTGCCAAATGGAACACTGAAGATAAAGTTAGCCATGTGAGCACTGGAGGAGGTGCCAGTCTAGAGCTTCTGGAAGGTAAAATCCTTCCAGGAGTAGAGGCTCTCAGCGACCTGTAGTTGACAGTGTTCCTTCCTACTGCTTTCTGTCCCTAATCTATAAGTCACCTTAGTACTTTTACATTCTTATTCCACCGTTGTTATAATCTACCCTTATACGAAGACCCAGACAATGACCCAGGCAATGAACAATGGGTGAACCATCAGAAACTCAACATCAGCACAGTTCTGCTATCCTGGGATGCATTTGTCTACTCGAAGATTTCATTTGAGCTTCACCATTATGATTCGTTGGGAGGATATACATTTATGCTGGCTATTAAGGTTAATTGAATAAACTGAATCTCTCTCATACTTTCACTCCAGATTATTGTTTCACTACTTGAAACAAGGGAACAAGACAAAACCTAAGTTGTCAGAGAAAGGTGGGATAGAAATAGGCAAAGTATTAAATAATAAAATTGCCTAAATAAACCAAGAAAAATAGTTACATTTGAGAACACATGAGCATCATTAAAGGTCTGCTAGAAGGAAATTTCTTATGAAATTAGAAGAGAAATAAAATATATTATTCAAACTCAAGTAGTCTTAAAGCACAGAAGGAATTTAAATGCAAGGCAGGAACTATGTCTGTGTGTGGAGGTACAAGAGTACATACGCATGCCTATTAGAATGGTAGGTACAAATTAAATCTAGGTTTCAAAGAAGTAATTGTTTTATTTTTAAAGCAAATATTATTTAATTTATTGATAATATAACTGCTAAATCTTGAAACTGGCTTATAAAATAGAAAATACATAAGAAATCAGAGACAATAAAGATTAAAATCTTTCATATTACAAAATAGAATAAAAAATTCAAATGTAGAAGAAAAAAATAATTATTGAGAATATTTTGCTTAGCTCTCTAGACAAAAAAGTTGGCTCAGGGCAATATTATTAACATCTTTAAAGTAAAAGTTCCTTATTCCAGCTAAAATGGCCTAATGCCCATAACTCAGATAATTATTTCTATTCAACATTCTGAATAAGTGGGCTTAAAATATAATCTAATACACCTGAAACTTCAGTGTGTTTCTAATGGTAATTTAATAATGATATGGCAATCTCAGAGACTATATAGAGGATTAAATATATAGATTTAAAAATACATGAAAAGGAAAACCAGAACTATGATTGTTGAAATAAGGTCATAGAATATCACTCTCTTGCATAAAATTTCAGGGCAAATAAGTGGGCGCTTCTCCAAGAGGTCTTCTAGGGAATCAAGTTAGTGAGAAAAATCATTCACTCTATATAAGCGGGTTCCATCTCTGTGTCTTAGGTATCTGTCCACGCTCTGACTTACAGCCCCCCAAAGGAAGTTAGTGACAGGAAACATATTTCTTTTAAATACGTGACCCATAAAGTTCAGGAATTTCTCTTACATATTATATTGACTATTAATCATTCTATAAGGCCTATTTTGCAAGGGAAAGGAGGGTTTATTCTCTCTGGCTGGATACTTTGTACTCAACTGAAAAAATCAATAGATTCTGTTACTAAAAGGAAAAGGGTGGTGTAAATACTGGGAGAAAAATACAAATTTTTAGCCAGTTTTCATTCTAGTCACCCAAGTATCCATGTACAATTATCCATGCACTGTTTCCAACATACAGAAAATCCCTTCTCCAAGAGGTATCAATAGAATCAAATGTTTTGTCCAATTATTACATCCCACTGAAAATTAAGGATCTCAGGATGACACACCATTTTTTCTATTTCATTCAGTGGAGAGTCCAACAGTCTAGGGAGCTAAAAAATACAGTCATTTATTTTTTCACACCTCTAACAGCCCTGTCCATATACACACAATATACAATTGTGGAAAAAAAATATGATCTCTGAAATAAAAATCTTCACTTGAAAGAGCCACTGGTTGATTATAAATGTGAAATAAATTATGTTGGATAAGAATTTCAAGAACTCCCTGACCTGACTGTAAAAGATTTCCTTGGTTAGACTCTTGTTTTGTTTTCAGGAGGAAATTTCTTATTCACTTTCTTTTTTGGGTGCCCAATGTGGTCATCTGGGAAATCTTCCCTATTTGCTGGTCTCCTTGACATTTGGGGAAGCATATGTAGAAGAATTAGGTCAAATTGAACCACCTAACATCTTTCCTAGCTTACTTGTTTTGCTTGTTACTCGTAGAGTCTTAAAATGCCTACGATTTCTTTTTATATCACACAATATAATCCTCAGACTAGTTATTTTCAAACTTTTTTAGTTATTTTCAACCTTTTTAAGAATAAATATTTCTGTTCTTTTACTTCCATGTGAAAGAAACTCACCCCAAAATCTCTTCTAGTTATAATTCTTAATTTTCTGGCTCTTTGTTTTAATTAATTGAGTTCTTTGCTCAAACCATTTTCCTTATCTTCATTTTAAGATAGGTCAACTTGTATCCTCTGATAAAGTAGGCAGAGACATAAGGAACAACATAATCTGATTTTAGCCTGTGGGGTCCTCATATTCCTGGCTGAAAAGTCCAAGTGAGAAATGTTTGAGGAAAACTGAGTGACAGACTTTATCTTGCTATTTAGGGAACTGAGACAATTAGTTCTTTCATCTCAGAGACTACTCACTTTTCTGGCCTATTAGCCAACTTTGGTTGCAGGCAATAAGCAGATTGTTCAGTATTTCCTGGCTGTGATCACTTTTTTGTTGTAGTATCTTGCTTACAACAACATGTGGACCAGGAAAAAGACTAATTATAATAAAGTAAAAATCAAAATCAACAAGCAACTATAAACCAGAGATGGTTGGGGGGGTGGGTGGTTTAGAGTCAAATTAAGGGGGGTGGGAATTGTATGGGGAATATAACTAAGATGAAATGCATATATTGTGCAAAAATTAAAAATGATGTAAAAAATATATAAAATCAAATTTAAAAAAATGTGACAACAAAAACCTACTAATCTTCTGTCTCTTTCCAAATGCTTTCTCTGCAGTTTGGGGTGCTGTAGGAATGTACTCTGCCTCCTACAATACCACAGGCAAAGTTTTACTAAATGCCACAGCAAAAAACGATCATCACCTTCCAGCCTGCACCTAACCCTTAAGTGAATGTCTTCTTTTAAGGCTTTTATTAAGGCAGTATCCCTCTTACAGGTATGAGTTTCTACCTTAGTCTATGGACTAATGGTTCTCAATTAGGGGCAATTTTCCCTTGTAGGGGACATTTGATAAAGAAAGGGAGGCCTCCCTGGTGGTGCAGGTGATTGAGTGCCGCACTGTGAAGCTGTCCCCAGCCTCTGAAGCGCAGATTCGATCCCGGCCAGCTAGCAAGAATCCCACATGGTGTAGCAGACCTCTCCTGTCTCACCCACTGCTCCCCTCAGCAGTGTATTTCGTCAATCTGCCTGTTCTGTTCCCCACTCAGTCTCTGGTGAATCCTCTCACCCTCCCGCGCATCTGGCCTGTATCCCGGTTCTTGCATAAATAAAATAAATCTTTAAAAAAAAAAAGAAAAGAAAAAGAAAGGGGCACACATTTGTTAGTCACAGGGGAAACGTGCTGTAGGCATCTTATAGTTGTGGCCAAATGTGCTATTAAACATTCTACAGTCTACAACAAATAACTACCTGCCCAATGTTTTAACAAGGAAATCTATTTCCCATAGGACATTCCAGGATGGTATGAGTAAATAGACATGTCTAGAAGTCATCCAAGGAGTCAGGCTGGCAAAATGTCACCATCTGTACTAGGTTTCCATCTCAAGGAGAAGGAAGTTCAATTCAATTTGTTAGTATTTTCCAGCAAACTGAACAGGGAAAGTGAAATGCAGAGCAAGCATTATATCTAAAGTTTGCTAAAATTATCTGTTCTTCAAACAAATCCACTCTGATATGAAAGAAAATCAACAAGCTTTGAGCAAAGGGAAAATTAGACTTGCCTGAGGCTGAGAAAGTCTGGGGCCTTTCACCTGAAGTCATCCACAGATGGCTTTATTAGAGTTATTTAGATTAACAAATAAAAAGGAACCCAACATATATACTGTGTCTGAAGCAAATGAAAAGAAAAAGTATAATCATTGCAACTTATTGGAGTATTTCAGTACCTACCTAAACTCTGGTAATAAAAGAGGGAAGGGGAAGAAAATAGAGGCAGTAGCAAAAGGTCAGAAGGAGACTAGAAATTTTAAAGATTAACTGTGTACTGTATTGACCAGTTAAACAGGGATGCATGAATGGTGATGGTGACTGTGTGGAATGTTCATTTGAAGGTCTGTTCACAGATACAGCAAGTTTATTGACAAAAGGTGCTTGCTTAGACAGGGGTTGCCTTTTATATTGCTCTTTGGTAGAATTTCTCACTTTGTGGATTTCTCAGTTTAGGTTTGCTGTAAAGACTATAAGTTCTCAAGCCTCCCTGGTGGCCTACAGATTAAGTCTCACCGAGATGGCCCGAGTGAGTTCTGATCCTGACCAGGGAGCTGACCCACATGGTGCAGCAGACCTCACCTGTCTCGCCATCTGCTCCCTTCAGCAGCATATTTCAGTAAATCCAGCTGTTCTGTTGCCTACTCTGTCTCTGGTGAATATTCTCACCCCCCACACCTCTGGCCTACCCCCAGTTCTTCTACACAAAAATAAATAAAATAAATTTTTTTTTTAAATAAAAAAGACTGTTAATTCTCTCTACTCCCCCTCAGCCCCCACCTCTGGTCCCTGGCCATTTGAAAGTTGTGTAACTGGCTTAATAACCCTGTTAATCATCACTACTCCCACCTCCTCCCAGTCCAAGAGGTCTGCAGTCTAGGCTATTGGAATGAGATGTTTAGCTTTTCCAGCAGTGTGTCCTCTTCAGCAATCCGTGGCTGTTTCTGATGCCACTATCAACCCCAAAGGGATACAGAGAATTTTATTAGGGATGTAACACAATCAGTTTTTCAAGTTCCCAGGAATACAGTTGGAACCAATAATGGTTAATCATAAAAAAGGAGGGGTAATTCAGTGAATTCACACTTGATCCCCAAAAGAAAATGCAGTTCATAATCAGAGTTGAATTATGTTTATTCCTAAATGTTAAGTCTGGGGGATTTTTTGTTGTTGTTGTCACAAAAGACAGGATCCTAATACAGAGAATAATGTTGATGAATAAAGAAAATGAAGGTGACATAAAAAATAGTTTATTATTCAGAGTATCAAGAAGCATGTATATATTAACTGGCTTTAAATCAGATAAATAATTGTTCATAAAATCTTCAGGTCTCAGAACTAGCAAAAATAATCCCTAAGTGCAGAAAGAGACTGTGTATTTTCAGGAGAGAAAAGGCAAATAGACTTTCCTAGTGAGAAATGCCTAATAGTTTTCAGAAGAGTGGGATTAAAAATACTTTCTAACAAGTTAGAGGCCTCAATGTGCATGGTGTAGAACAAAGTTCTAACGTGTCCTTCCCAAGTCAGTAATAGAATTACCCCGAATTTACTAGAAATGTAGATAGAGCCATACACAAAACCTGTTGACTCACCAATTCTGGAGATGGAATCCAGCAATCTGTCTTTTAAAAAGCTATCCAGTGTTTTCATTTCAACAAAAATTTGAGAACCATTGATATAGAATAAAGACTACTATAGGGAGGCAGGAATTGGAACTGATGCATCACTATTTAGTTGTTTTATTTACTTATTTC